AACCAACAGGAAGTAGCGCTCCTGGTTCCTCCCACCGACGGGGGCCGGGCCCCACACGTCCATGTGGAGGGTCTGCAGAGGAGCAGTGGTCGAAGGAAACTCGGAGGAGTGAGGAGCGGCGCGCTGCCGCCCCTCGACGCAGGGAAGGCACGGCGGGGCAGGCGAGCGCGGGAGGGAGGGCAGGGACCTGGGAAGGCCAGAGACAGGGAGACGGGAGTGCATGCTGCGGAGACGCGGCAGCGAGGGGTGACCTAGGCGGTGGTGCCAGAGGAGAGTCTGGTGAGAGAGTACCCGACACGAGCAAGATGCTGCAAGCTGACCAGACGCAGACACCCGACTCGACACAGCCACCTAACCTGACTCAGCCACCTGTGCAGACGCAGTGGTCAGGGTGTACAGACCGGACCCAAGCTGACGAGTGAACGTAGCAAGGTCACGACTAGTCTGTGAGCACTTACAGATCGCCACACGCTGTCCTCCAGGAATGAAGGTGTCAACCCATTCATCCTGGAGAACTGCGTTGCTCAACAAGTTCGTCAAGAACGCGGGGAGGTGGAGACCTGAGAGAGACCCTGAGGGGACTGCCAGACACAGGAGGACAGGGGAGGCTCGCGCAACTACTGGGCCCCCAGTGGGGTCAGCCAGTGAGACTGAGACAGGTGCTGCGAGTGGTGTGACTGTGGTGCAATCACGAAAGAAGCAACGTGACGCGCCTGAGTCAAGCGTGAAAGTGTGCAAGGCCTCAGTTGAGGCAGGACCTGTGGCAGTAGATGCATTAGCACCTAGAGCATCGGCAGACTCACGAGCACCTAGAGTTGCAGCAGACTCACCAGCACCTGGAGCGACAGCAGACTCACTAGAACCGAGAGCAGCAGCCTCTACACGACCAAGGACGCATCGCTGAGAAGCACAGTCGCGAGTTCGCTGAGGCCACATAAAACCAAAACCTCCACCACCAGGACTACCTCGTTGAATAACCCACTCATGAAGCTTCTGGGGGGTGGGGTCGTCCGGGAGAGGCAGTGACCACTGTTGTCCACCCCTAGCCGCTGCAACTGCCGTGATAGTGGACATGACAGGCAGTGACGGTCAGTTGTAGGTCCAGCACCTCCAGCACCAGCAGCACCTCTAGTACTCCCAGTCGCACCTCCACCAGCAGCGGCAGTAGCACGAGAAGCAGCAGCAGCAGCAGCAGTAGTAGCAACAGGGCGGCTCGGTGGGGTTGGGCGGTGGCTCCTCCAGCACTCCTAGCAGCACCTTAACCAGCAGCAGCAGTAGCACGAGCAGCATCAGCAGCAGTAGTAGCAGGAGGGCGGCTTGGGCTGGGCGGCACGGCTCGGCCTGGGCAGCGCTGCTCAGCAGGGCAGAGCGCAGCAGAAGCAGCATGTGCAGCAGCAGCGCGCTGGGCAGCAGGGCGCGCTGGTTTTTTTCATATATATATATATATAATTATTAGAATTATTTAGGGTTGCGGGGCGCACTGGCGCGCTTCGCAGTGGGGCGCGCTGGCGCGCTGGGCTGCGGGGCACGCTGGCGCGCTAGGCTGCGGGCCGCGCTGGCGTGCTTTGTCAGAGGTCCACTGGTGATCCCCGATTGATCCTAGGGAAGGGTTACAGGCTCGCTATCCTTGGGGGTTATGGGCGCACTGACCCGCTACTTAAAAGCTATTTTATCCCAGTCGTCTAGTGACTGGGATTCTGACATGGTATCAGAGCGAAGGTTTCGGGTTCGAATCCCAGCGTGTGCACTTCGGGCATCCCAGTGCGGGGGGGTGTCAGAGGTCCACTGGTGATCCCCGATTGATCATAGGGAAGGGTTACAGGCTCGCTGTCCTGGGGGGTTATGGGCGCACTGACCCGCTACTTAAAATGACATTTTATCCCAGTGGTCTAGTGACTGGGATTCTGACATGCTTAGCAGTGGGGCGCGCTGGCGCGCTGGGCTGCGGGGCGCGCTGGCGCGTTTAGCAGCGGGGCGCGCTGGCGCGTTTAGGGCTGCGGGGCGCGCTGGGCTGCGGGGCTGCTCGCGGGCAGAAGGGCCGCGCAGGGCAAGGGCTGCTCGCGGGCAGCAGGGGCGCTCGGGTCAGGGGCTGCTCGCGGGCAGCAGTGGCGCGCGGGGGAGGGGCTGCTCGCGGGCAGCAAGGGCGCTCGGGGCAGGGGATGCTCGCAGGCAGCAGTGGCGCGCGGGGCAGGGGCTGCTCGTGGGCAGCAGGGGCGCGCAGGGCAGGGGCTGCTCGTGGGCAGCAGGGGCGCGCGGGACAGGGGCTGCTCGCGGGCAGCAGGGGTGCGCGTGGCAGGAGCTGCTCGCGGGCAGCAGGGGCGCGCGTGACAGCAGGGCAGCACGCTAGGGTAGGCAGTGCGAGTTGTGAGAATAGTATGAAGGTAGGGCCTAGGCTTAGTAGCCTAGGCCAAAGGGAGTCGAGAGAGTTTAGCCAAAGAGAGGGTGAGTTCACTATTGAGCGAGGTACAAATAGCAAACAAAGCATGCAAAGAAGGTGCACCACCAACAAGTTTATAATAACTACACTAACTACAGCTACAGGCAGTTACAGATATATTCTAACACTCCCCCATAACTGCCTGCAGCAGGAGTCTGTGCAGCAACACATCCTGGATGGGTACACCACGAACAGAGAAAACAGCAACAGCAGGCAAGGTAACAAAGCAGGTACAGCAGCAAAGGGGCAGGCACTCCTGCCACCCCTTTACTCTCCTCCCCCCCCCCCCCCCCCCCCCCCCACCTCAGAGGGATGGGGGCTGGTTGGTCTCACACCCGCCACCCCAATGCCACTCCCCTGGCTCCCCCACACCCTCCCCCCAGCGGCAGCTGCAGCAGTGGGAACGAAAGGAGGAGGAGGGGAAGGGAAACACACCACCCATCACCCCCATACCCGCCACCCCCATACCCTCCGTTCCACGGCTGCACGCGCAGCAGGGAGACGAAGAAAGAGGGGGGGGGGGGGGGGGGGGAGAGCAGCAACGGGCAGCACAGGCACGGGCAGCAACGGGCGGCAATGGGCAGCACAGGCACGGGCAGCAACGGGCGGCAACAGGTAGCACAGGGAGGCGGCTGCACCGGGTCCAGGAGCGGCGTCGCATGCAGTTGCAGGGTCGGCACCGTGGGGTCCAGGGGCGGCGTCGCGGAGTCCAGGGGCGGCGTCGCGGGGTCCAAGGGCGGCTGCTCCAAGGGCCAGGGGCGGCTGCTGAGGTCCAGGGGCGGCTGCACCAGGGGCGGCTGCTCCAGGGGCCAGGGGCGGCTGCTCCAGGGGCCAGGGGCGGCTGCTCCAGGGGCCAGGGGCGGCTGCTGAGGTCCAGGGGCGGCTGCTCCAGGGGCCAGGGGTGGCTGCTCCAGGGGCCAGGGGCGGCTGCTCTGGGTCCAGGGGCGGCTGCTCCAGGGGCGGCTGCACCGACGCGCGCCCCCCCCCAGGTCGCCACTCCCGTCGCCTGTCGAGGCGACCTGGGGGGGGCCGCGCGCGACAGGCGACGAAACCGCCGCACGCCTCGGGGCGCACGACGGGCAGGGCACCGTCGCGCGCCACGGGGCGCACGACTGGCAGGCAGGGCACCGTCGCGCGCCACGGGGTGCACGACGGGCAGGCAGGCAGGCAGGCAGGGCACCGTCGCGGGCGCCAGGGGCGGGTCCGCGGCGGGCAGAAAAAAAAAAAAAAAAAAAAAAAAAAAAAAAAAAAAAAAACGTCACGCGCCACCCGGGCGCGGGACAGAACGAAAATCGCCACGCGCCCGAGGCGCGCGACCGGAAAAACAGCAGCGGAAGCGAGAGGCTGGCCCATAGGCCAGGACTTAACAGGCTCTGATAGCATGTGAGAATAGTATGAAGGTAGGGCCTAGGCTTAGTAGCCTAGGCCAAAGGGAGTCAAGAGAGTTTAGCCAAAGAGAGGGTGAGTTCACTATTGAGCGAGGTACAAATAGCAAACAAAGCATGCAAAGAAGGTGCACCACCAACAAGTTTATAATAACTACACTAACTACAGCTACAGGCAGTTACAGATATATTCTAACACGAGTAGCTGCAGGGCAGCGTGACACTGTGCGAGAGGGCCGAGTACAACACTTGAGGTCGAATGTAATTTGATAGGTCCATCAGATTTTTCATTTTTCCAGTCTGACGTGTCTTTTTTTTTTTACCAAGGCCTGTCTGACCAATCAAAGTTCAATCTGTAGATTCATCGTTGACCTGCCATGCCACGCAAAATTCCTCCAGCAATACCAAATTCGACTTGTCGGTGCATTTTCAATCTATCACAGAAGAGATCAGGCAGATTCAACCTGTCACAGTGCAGAAACATGCAAACTCGATCTATCACGGCACAGATTCGTCTGTCACAGCAGATTCTATAACAAATCACCCTGGACTGGCATGTTTCAGTTTCAGATGGAACACACAACTGCCTACAGTGCGATCAGGGTAAAAAAAAAACCTACACCGATGCCTCTGGGTAAAAAAATCAAAACGTAAAGTTACATTCATCCATAAGTGTTTCCAAAAAGGACACACTCCTCAAAAGGGTTTTGAAAATGGCTACACTGCTAATCATGAGTAGCCAAAATCCAAAGATAGGCCCTGGGTACTGGTACCAAATTCGCCTCAGCAAGTATTACCGTACCGGTATCCACGACGTGGCTTCCCGAACAATGGTTGCCGATGTGGCACCTTCGCAACATCCACACATTACGAGAAACTCTCTTCAAGATTTGTGAAAAAAAATCGAAGTACTGGTAGTTTAAAGACTTATACCGTAAGACACCCAAACCAAAACCAAAACCTCCCCAAATACAAGATAACCCAAGCATTTTTTTTAGTGTACGAGATAAGACATATATGTCTTATATCTGGGCCATGACGGTATCAAAGGGTGAGGTGAAATTACACATACAGGCGCACCCTTGCCCAGGTCCAAACCAAACTCTCATGCCACTAGGAACATTGTATGGTAGATTTACGTTAGCACAAGCTAAGCATGCACTTCCCCCGTGTTGTCATCACTTCTGCGCGACAAAGGCCCCGAGGCGTTTGAGCCAGCGCACGTACTCGCGCTGCTCCTTGTCCTCCAGGTACCGCCTCAGGTACGCTGCCAGGCCTGCACTGATGCCCCGCCGCCTCAGGAACGAGTCAAACTGCTCCTGCAACACTGGATCCAACGTGCTGGGGAGAGGGAAGGGGAGGGGGAGGGGGAATGGATGGGGGAAGGAGAGATGAGATCAATGGTGGGCTTGATAGGGTGCGGGTGGACTGGGTGAGGAGGCAGAAGGTGAGTGGGATGATAAGTAAGGGGGTGTAGGACGGCAGTGTAAGGGGAGGGAAAGGGGGTGGGGGGGTGTTAAGAGGGAGAAGGAAAGGTTGGGGAGTGGAGGAAGGTGCAAGAGAGAAGGAAGGGGAGGAGCAGATGGAGGGGGAATGCACTCACGAGAACTGTGGGCCGCCATAGGGAATGCCGTCCTCAGGCACGTCAGGGTCCTCCAGACGCACGTCCTGAATAATCCAAGAGTTGCCGTCCACCACGCAGTCGATCTCCAGCTCCCCCTGATCCGCCTTCTTGGCAACGGTCACCCTCACCGACAGCGGCGTCAGGCGCTCCCCCTCCTCCCCTTCCTCCTCCTCCTCCTCCTCGCTCTCCCCCTCGCCCTCCTCCGGATACGCCTCGTCGTCGTCCGCGAATGCCGCAACGACGGATATCGCCTCCCCCTGGTACGTTCTTTTGAGCACGGCGTCGATGGTGCCGCCCTGCTCCTCCACCGTCCACTCCGCGGGGGGTCCCTCCTTCAGGTCCTGGGGGGGTGGGGGGACGCGGGTATGGAGAAACGCAACGAGGGTGAAATGGGAGAATGGGGAATGCGGGGATGGGGGCATGGGCGGATCGGGAAAGGGGGGATCAGGGGAGAAGGGGGGTTCGGGGGATGGGGGGCAAGTTGGGGGAGTGGCCAACGGGATATGAGAGGGAGAGGAGGAGGAAGAGGCATCGCTGAAAGCACGGTGATGGATCTGACTATGTAGCGATTCCAACTAAACAAGCCTGATTCAGACCGTCGATCCACGACGCATTCTACGGTTCTCAGCTGTAAGCGCTCCGCCATGTCAGCTTCACTGTCGCGCGGGCCGCGCTGTGCACTAAACGGAGGGACTCACTTCGGGCGGCTCGTAGTCCTGCTCCTCGTGCTCCAGCTCCGCTTTAAGAACCTTCAGAAGCCCCGCATCGGTCGACGACGTCGCAAACCCTCGCGCCGCAAACGACGGGTGGATCCAACGGCTTCGATTGCAACCCGCCAGTAACGAGCCTTTCCCGCCGCACGATCCAAAAACCGGGGTGCTCTCAGGAGCGCATGGCAAGAGATTCTGGTTCCTAAGCTGGTGGAGGCGCCTCGAGGGTGCCGCGGACGAGATCCGACGGCTGCTACGAGCCACCGCGCTAAGCGATCTGGTTACCACTCCGCGATACATGGTGGCGAATCGAACAACGGGGGATGAAATGAAAGGGGATTCGTTCGAATGCGGATAGGCGACGGGATGAGCGAGTCGATCTGAGTTGGCGGTGGGAAAATCGCGGAGTGGTCGCGACGGGCTGAGCGGAACACGCGGTGAGTGCGCTAGCATGGAGCGGGTTGCGAGGAGATGAAAGGAATTTGTGCTTGTTGGGTGGTGCTTGGGCTTTGGGTGAAGTATTCGAAGGATCCGTGATTGTAGAGAATGATTCGGCTGATAAAACGAGTTTCGGTTATAACTAAAGTTTGACGTTCGATTTAACTGTACTCAAATCTACAGTGTGCCTCAACTGTGCAAGCAGGATCAGCGAAAAGTGGAACGCCACGTGGTCGAGTAAGGATGCACCAGTTGCATGCGCCGAGTCAGCTCGCCTCACAATCACGTTTGCACTGACCGGGCGACTCGATGTTTGATCCAGACAACATTTCAACACACTATTGATGGAAATTCGCGCCCCTCGCCACCTCTCATTGCAATCCCATCCCACCCACCCTGCTTTTTGCTGTACTAGCACCACAATGTGTTTATTTCCTCCAACAAACCCCATGCTCTTCTGCTTCCACCAGCGTGGAGTAGCATAGTCTTCGATCTAAACGCAGTCTTAACAGGGATTCTCGCTTATCTTCCAATTATCCGTAACCTTCGCTGCTTCTTTTTCGAAGTGTAGCCATGGCGTCTCGCCCTGCTGACAGCTCAGACACGGCAGTTCCCAGCACACCGTTGCTGCAGAAGCCCACCATGGCGAAGCGCCAAGGCTATTGGGCGCACATCGTCGATAGAAACACCTTCGGCACGCGCGGAGAGCTATGGGTCTCGTTGCAGCTCCTCGCCATCATTCTCGTCTTCTTCCCGCTTCCCGATTGGCTCATCTCAGACAAGCTCCGTCTGCCGCTCTCCTTCTGCGCGTCTCAGTCCGTCCGCGAGGGCGCGTTCGTGGCGGGAGTGCCGCTGCTCGTGCTGAGCGTGTATCTCGGCCTCGCGTCGTTCAACGACCTCGCGGGGAGCTTCTCGCCCTTCCCCAAGCCGCGCGCGGACGGCGCTGGGCTAAAGACGGGCGGGGTGTACCGCTTCGCGCGCCACCCCATGTACGCCGCAGCCGTGCTGCTCTCCGCCGCCGTCGCGTGCGTGACGGGCAGCACGGCGCGGCTGCTGGCGGCGTGCGCCATGGCGGCGGTGCATGACGCCAAGGCGCGCGTGGAGGAGAGGCACCTGAGGGAGCGGTTCGGAGAGAGGTACCTGGCGTACATGAAGCGGGTGAAGCGGTTCGTGCCCTTCGTGTACTGATCAGCAGCAGTGAGGCGCTCAGGTGGAGCATTGCGGGGAGTGGGGTCTAGTGCATTTGTATCAATACTGGCGTTGAGTATGGTGCTTTGCCTTACCGGTATCTCCCTTAGCAGCATTGAGTGGATCTAGTGAAGGCACTTGCACAATGTGGCGTCCCTGTATATATGTTCCAGTCCATCATGAATAGTGTATTGACTTCATACCTACGTTGCCAGGGGTGTTCACCAGCTTCGCACACCGAGTAGCAACAACACAATGACCAGCCAGGCTGTATTGCCAAGTGAAACAAAAGCAACTCTGAGCTGAGCTGTTGTGAACTTCCCTGGCTCATGAATCTGGTTGTCTGTTTTGGAAAGCAGGGGAGCAAGGTGACAGGCCAACGCCTCTTTCCATCCACGCACACACCAGTGGCAGTGACCGCGGGGTGCCAATGACCCACAGCTCCATGTCGCTCCCCCTCTCCCACCCCACCACGTGCTGGGGTACCCGCCCCACGTCCATGCGCCAACCCAACAGCTCCTCCCTCTCCCCCTCCACCTCCCCATCCCCATACCCTTCACTTCGCCGCCCATCCATGACCGTCTGCCGCCCATCTACCCTCGTCCCCCGCTCACCACCCGTGTGCTCAGCCTGTGTGCAGCTGGCCTCTCCTGGCTGTGCTGCCTGCTGCGCGCTGCTACAGTGGCCGCCACTGTACCAGCTGGGAGAACCGTTTTGGGCGGCGAAGTGGGAGCGGAAGACGGCGTAGCCATTGGCGACGGGGGCGAGGTGGGAGAGTGAGAAGTTGAACCGCTTCTCCAACGCCAGCAGTAGGAGCTGGTTGGGGGGAGGGGGATATGGGGACTTACAGGCAGGGAAGGAAGAGGTAGGTACAGAATGGGAGGCTGGTGAAAATGGGACAATGAGGCCCATGACACGCAGCAGGAAGGGGGAGGTGAGACTTGTAGCACCTTTGGGTTGGATTTCAAAATGTGAATCATGTGTGGCAATAAATGAGGTGCGAGTTACGGATTGTGGAAAGTATGATGGGAGTGGGAGGTACTAGATGAACGAAGGGAGAGAGAGGGACAGTGGAGGCACCTTGGGAGGGCCACAGCGCAGGAGGGAGTGAAGGGTGATGAAGAAGGCACACGTGATGTCATCACTGTAGATGACGTCAGCAGCCAGCAGCACCGTGGCATTGCTGGCGTCCCTCATATCCTCCTCCGTCCACCCAAACGGATCCACTCCTCCTAACGGGCCCGCTGCTCCACCCATCTCCACCTGCGCACCTCCTTCCCTGCCTGCTGCCTTGCCTGCTGCCTTGCCTGCTGCCTTGCCTGCTGTGCTGCTGCTGCCAGACCTGGTTGCTGATTTGTGGAGCCCGGATGTGCTGGTTACCACAGGCGGGGGCCAGCCGTGGTGCCAGTCAAGGCGGCGAACCACAGCTGCTGGCACGTGCGTGCGGTGGTGCTGTGAGCAACTCGTGGGGGCGCTAGCGGCACTGCCTGCGTTAGCTGCATTGGTAGCATTGACAGCACAGTTGCCAAGTACAGCGTCCCCTGTATCTGGTGGGGGGCACAGCCGTGGCGGTGTGGGCGGGTGAAAGCAGGGCAGGGAGCAGAGACCGGGAAGACAGCGGGCGAGACACGTCTGAGAGGGCGTGCGATGGATGAAGGGTGGGGAGGGGAAGAGACGGCGGGCGAGGCAGGAGGAAGGTGGAGAGCGGTGGTGAGGGAGGGGAGGTGGTACCTGTGAGGATGACACGGCTGGCGAAGTGCGCCGCTGTGATGCCCGCCAGCCCTGCTCCCGTGCATGCAGAGGAGGGTGGGGCAGCGGAGGGCGGGGAAGAGAGGAGGTAAGGCGGGTGGTGGTGTATCAAGCAGGGGCCCGAAAGGGTGAAGCGTGAAATAGTGCTTCGCAAGCTTATATGCGCCACACTTTCCTGCGCCCTGCCCCACCTGCGCCCTGCCCCACCTGCGCCCGCCCCCAGCTCGAGCAACGTGGCGCCGCCCAGAAGGTGGTGGCAGGCCACCATGACGTCTGCAAGCAGCAGTGATGCACGCCACACCTGGCGGGGGGAACAGGGGGGGTTGGGGGGCGGAAGAAGGGGGAAAGGGGAGGAGTGGGAGAGTGGGAGTGGGGAGGTGGGGGCGAGCAGAAGGGAGGTGTGAGGGGCAGCAGGGGGTGGAGGGGAAGCGAGAGCAGAGGGGTTGGGTGAGTGTGTGGGGAGGTGGGTGAGGTGCGGGTGGGTGACAAGACAAGAGGGCAGCTCCACGCCTCACCTGTGTGCCCACATGGGCGATGGTGGTCTGCATGCTGTGCCGCATCACCACCCTCATCCACCTGCTTCCTCCTCCCCTTACGTCCGCTCCTTCTTCTCTCCCTCCTTCCACTCCGCCTCCTTGCCCCACCTCCGGGTCCCCCTCCTCTTCCCCCCTCGCACCGCTCCTCTCCACGCCTTGGTCATCGTCCACCCCTGCACCCGCCTGCACTGCTCTGCCACGTGGCACCGCTGCTTCTGGCAGCTGCGTGGCACAACCTGCCCTGTCAGCAGAAGAGGGGAGCCAAACGGACAAGGGGGGTTGGGGAGGAGGGCAGCGCGGTTAGCGGCGTCACGGGCAACACGCGACCCACTAGAAGCTTCAGCAGCCTCATCCCGCTCCCCCTTGCCAGCCCTCTTGCCCTCCTCTCTCCCCCCTCTCAAAACCCCTTCACCCCACTCGCCCGCCCTCACCTCTCTGCTGGCCATCAGCGCTATCAGTGCCACCACCGCCTGTGCCTCCCCCACCGCTGCCTGTGCGCCGCCGCTTGCGCCGCGCCACCAGCAGATCGCCGTCCGCGTCCACCGCTACTCGCTTCCCTTCCGCGCCCCCCCGGCTCTCCTGCTCCCCCGCTATGCCCTCACTGCTTTCCGCCGCGCCACTCCGCTCCGCGTCTTCCGACCCCTCCCATCCCTCATTTCCCGGCTCCCCGCGTAGCGCCCTTTCCGCTGTAGCCACGGCAGTGGGCAGGCGGAAGGCGAAGGTGCTGACTGTGCTGACGTGGTGCGAGGGGCATGCCACGTGGACCTCGCTCAGCACCAAGTAATCATCATCTGCTTCATCGCCCTCGTTACCCTCCCCCGCGCGTTCCTCGCGACTATCCTCATCCACCCGATTCTCAACATTCACTTTCGAGGAAGCTTCCAGGGCCTCGTGCCCCTTCGCGCCACACAGTGATAATTCCACGACCTCGCTATCAATCCTACGAGCTCCGCGCGCACTTGTCTCTATGCGCGGACCGCTCTCTCCGCCCACCCTCTGCGCCAGCGCGATACTTTCATTCTCTGCCATTGCGGTTCGGTGCAGCGCTGCGGCCGCTGCTTCGCTACGCAACTAGGTGCGATATGGTGATGGTTTTAGGGAAAGGTGGTGGTGATGTTAGGAAGGTGGTGTGCGAAATTGGAATTGCCCCGATTGAAGGGTTGTCTGGGGGATATGTACACCGTTAGGCAGGACTTCTCAGATCTTAAAAATAAAAGGAATAAAAACCCGCAACTTGGAAGCAAGCTTGAAAGTGAATCAAGTTCAATCAGGAACGTAGTGGAAAACTTGACCACAAATGCAAATCTTACAATAGCCGTTTGTAACACAAGTGTTACCAGAATAACATGGAAAACGCCACTAAGACCAATGATTTGACAAGCACGGATACACTGTTCAGTGCAGTCTTGGGGGCATTCTTGGGGGGTGGGGGGCTGCTGCTGCTGCTGCTGCTGCTGGCCGACGAGCCTGACGACGACGGTGAGCCGTTGGCATTCACGGCGCCTGGGACGTTGGAAACAACGCCACTCGACCCATTCATGTACGCGGCACACGCGTTGGGGTTGATGGGGCGGCCGACATAGGGTGCGAGGAGGGAGTCGTTCTTGAAGGAGCAGCCGGGGGTGTTGGTGAAGGGGTCACAGCACACTGGCTTCGGAGGTAGGGGGTTGCTGGGCCCGTTGTAACACGCCGACTCCCCCTGCATGGCATGGCCACAGCATCACTTTGTCATGGCTTGTTTGCGCTGGAGGCTCGGCAATAGTGGTTAGAAAATGGGGGGAAATGTGCTGTATCAAGATTGGAAATGTGGTGTGGCGGTTATGGTGGGTACCTGGACGACGTTGACGGTGATGTTGATGCCACTGAAGCGTGCAAAGAGCAGACCAAAGACGAGCTTGATAAATATCTCCTTGTTGCTCAACAGACTGCCCAGTGTCGCCTGCCCCATCACTGCCATGCCCCCATGCCATGCCATCCATGCCCATGCCATCACACCGTCCATGAGGGTGCATACCATGCGATTCCCCACCATGCAACATCACGAGGATAGATGTTGAGGATACAGCAAGGTCATGGGTGCCCCATGGACCCATGCACCCGTGCACCAATGCAACCCTCATGCAACCATGCACCCATGCCATCATGCACCCATGAACACATGTGCTCATGCACCCATGCACCCATGCAATCATGCACCCATGCACACATGCACTCATGCACCCATGCACCCATGTACCCACCCATGCACCCATAAACACATGCACCTTACGTGAACTGCCTCCAAGCCAACTCCCTCATGCCTCTCTGGATGCACCATGCAACCCATCTCACTAGCACCAATCCAATTCTTGCCCTTCACCTTCCTTGGTCATTCCCCTCTTTCCCTCTTCCCCACTTCCCTCCTCCCCCCTCCCCTCCCCCCCACGCACTGGGCACGTTCTCGCAGTCGGCGTACACTTGCGTGGCGTACGCATCGCACACCGTCAGCACGCCAGTTGTCGCTGTCGACGCCTTCACATACGCGCCGCCATCTGGTGGCGTGGAGAGACGGAGAGACGGTGGCGTGGGGGATGAGGAGGAGCGTGAGATGGTGGGTGGTCAGGAGCGATGGGCATGGCATGGCATGGCATGGCATGGGATGGCATGGTATGGCATGGCGAGGCATGGGCATGGGAGGGGGCATGAGTATGGGTTTGGGGAATGGGCATGGGCATGGGCATGGGCATGGCCATGGGCATGTGCATGGGCATGGCCATGGCTATGGGCATGGGTATGGGCATGGGTATGGGCGTGGGCAAGGGCATGGGCACGGACTGACCGGGGTTGCAGGTGATGGCGCAGTAGAGCTGCTCCAGGTCGTAGCTGCACATGTCGAACCCCACGAACATCGCGCATTGCTGCGCGCGCCCACACGCACACGCACACACGCGGGTATCGGGAGAACAGGGAAGAATCGTGGGGTGGCGGAAGAAATTGGGTGAGGGATGCGATTCAGAGCGAGATCACTACTGAAAAGCGTTGAGAAAAAAACTATAACAATCCGTGCTCCACGTACACGCTTATGTCTTTTATCACCTGTACGTCCTTGCTACAAACCCTGATCGCCCCGTTACAGTCACCTGCACGTCCTTGTTGCCGATGATGGCGACGATCTCGGGTTTGAGCATCTCCAGCACAACGGTCTGGTTCGCCGTCAGCCCGTGCAGAGCGTTGCTCGCGTCGCTGCAGTCCGCGCAGCACGCGCGCTCCGACGCGTCCACGCACCGCGACATCGTCACGTTCGGCTTCGCCGGCGGCTGCTGCGTGAACGGGCACAGCGGGTACGCTTTTGCGCTGGTCTGCGCGCTGACGTGGCATATGAAGGGGAGAACGAGTAGGAGGAGAGGCAACAGATCTATTTCCCTCACACCTTCAGCTTCATCCTCCGTTTGGAAGCACCAGGTGCCCATTCTCTTCAAGCGCGACACTCGTCTGTATCCTCGTGCGCTTGTAGTCGCCGTCCTGTTGCCCACGTTGCCATCCTGAGGACAAGAGTCCACGATGGCGTGTTCCGTCTCTGCTCGCGTTGCCGCACGGCAGCCGCTCGCGGCAGTCAGCAGGCCCGTCGCCGTTGAAGCTGCGTCGTCGGTGCGCAGTTCATTCATAGGGAATAACGCGGCGGTCTTGCGTCGCCTCCGCAAGGCAGCAGCACGGTCGAGAAAGGGCAACCATTCTGCCGGCGCCAGAAGGATGCGGCTTCCGCCGGCGCGCGCGGCGCTGGCGGACGTGAGGCCCGCGACGAAGCCGTCGGAGGAGATTGCGGTGGCGCACGAGGCGGGGGAGGAGGTGACAGCGTCTGCGGAGTTCCGCGCGCAGGCGCTTGTGAAGGATCAGGCGCAGGTGAGAATTGGGTCGTGGGGCACTCAGACAAGCGCGTTCCACACTTTGTTGCCACGTCGCGAACAACATTGAAGTGGCTCGTGTCGTCGCTCGTCGTTCGTCGCTCTTTACGGAATTTTTTCTGGTTGGGCATCGTGTGAGATACGATTCGAGCATGTAACTCGAAACGAGACACAAGAAAAATGTGTTGTCAATTACCGCTCGTCATGTTATGCCGTGCCGTGTCATGTGGCGTTACAGTACGAGGAGATGTACCGCCGCTCCATCGAGCAACCCGACGCGTTCTGGGCGGACCTGGCGCGGCAGTTCTATTGGCGCACGCCCTTCCCCGTGTCGCCCGATGGCAAGGTGCATTCAGAGAACCTGGACATGCGGCGCGGCCGCGTGAACGTGGAGTGGTTCAAGGGCGGCGCGACCAACATCTGCTACAACGCCGTCGACCGTTGGGTGGAGCAGGGGCAGGGGCACCGCGTCGCGTTCTTCTGGGAGGGTAACGACGAGACGGATTCCGTCACGCTGACGTACGCGGAGCTGCTGGAGCGCGTGAAGCAGACGGCGGCGTATCTGCGGTCGCAAGGCGTGAAGCGCGGCGACTACGTGACGATCTACATGCCCATGGTGCTCGAGCTGCCCGTCGCCATGCTCGCCTGCGCGCGCATCGGCGCCGTCCATTCCGTCGTCTTCGGCGGCTTCTCCGCCGAGTCGCTCGCGCAGCGCATGCAGGACTGCGAGTCGCGGGTGCTGCTGACGTGTTCCGGCACGATGCGCGGCTCGAAGCCCATCAAGCTCAAGGACATCGCGGACGCCGCCGTCGCGCTCTCACCGGACCTTCATGGTACCGCGCCCTTTCCCCCGCCCTTCTCCCTTCTTCCTCCTCGCCTCTCGCGTCTCTCTCGCTTCGCTGCTAGATGGCTCTTCCTCTCAACTCCACCCTTCCTCTCCCCCACTTCCGCCCCTTCCCATGCCACCCCACCTCTTTCCCCCTTGTGAATGGCGCGGCGGGGCGGCGCAGTGGCGCGCGTGGTGGTGGCGGACAACCCGCCCGCCATGGCGCGAGATGCGGTCAACATGGTGGAGGGCCGCGACGTGTGGTGGCAGGACATCATTGGCCACGCTGACGTGGCGCCGGGCAGTGATGACGTGGAGTGGATGGACGCGGAGGACCCGCTCTTCCTGCTCTACACCTCGGGATCCACGGGCCGCCCCAAGGTGCGTGCGTGCATGGGGGTGTGACTATAACGAACGGTGAGGGGAAACAAGGGGTATGCATTGCAGCAGGGGAGGAGCAGAGGAAAGCTGAATAGCTTGAGCGGCATACTTCACCCCGCAACCGTGCCCTCACTGTCCTTCCTTTTCTCCCTTCCCTCTTCCCCCTTTCCCTCTTTTTCCCCTTCCCCCTTTTCCCCCTTTCCCCCTTCCCCCTGTCCTCCCCATGCGCGCCCCCACCAGGGCGTGGTGCACACAACGGGCGGCTACATGGTGTACACAGCAACGACGTTCAAGCATGCATTTGACTGGAAGCCATCGGACGTGTACTGGTGCACCGCGGACTGCGGGTGGATCACCGGGCACAGCTACGTCGCCTACGGCCCCCTCCTCAACGGCGCCTCGCAGGTGCGCGCGCTGTTGAGAATGCTCAAAAGGGCCGCCGCCTGCCCAACACGCCCATTGACTCTGCGCCCCCTGCTTTGCCGCCCCTGGTCTGATGCGCATAAGCCCTCTCCCTCTGCTCTTTTCCTTCACCCCTCCGCTCTTTTCCTTCACCCCTCCGCATGGCCATGAGCCCACCCGCCCGCTGCACTCAATGCTTGTCGCATTGAAACCTCTCCTCCCGCCCATCTACCTCCCCACGCTTATTCCCACCCTTTTCCCACCCTCGTCTCTCCTCCCTCTTCTCCCCCTCCCCGTCCCCCCCCTCTCTTTCTCACCAGGTGCTATTCGAGGGAGTGCCCAACTACCCTGACTGGGGGCGCTGGTGGCGCATAGTGGATCGCTACGCTGTCTCGCTCTTCTACACTGCTCCCACCGCCATCCGCGCTGCCATGCGCTCCGGTGATCAGGTGCGACCACATGGGGGCACACAGGGCCGGGGGCGCAGGGGGGCGCATGGGGGGTCATTGGGGGGCACTGGGGCGCATTGGGGCCCGTATGGGGGCGCATGAGAGGTGCATGGGGGATGCACATGGGGGTTGTGGTTGAGCAGTTTGAGAGGCTGCTGAGTGTGGACGTGCGTTGAGTGTGGACGTGCGTTGAGTGTGGACGTGCGTTGAGTGTGGACGTGCGTTGAGTGTGGACGTGCGTTGAGTGTGGACGTGCGTTGAGTGTGGACGTGCGTTGAGTGTGGACGTGCGTTGAGTGTGGACGTGCGTTGAGTGTGGACGTGCGTTGAGTGTGGACGTGCGTTGAGTGTGGACGTGCGTTGAGTGCGGACGTGTGTGCATCGCCCATATGCCTGCACGCTCCGAGTCTCTTCCCACCATCACACCTTCCTGCTCCCACCCACCTCCTAACCTCCTCCTTCTCTCCCTCCCCCATGCCACATGTGTGTGTGCATGTGCACGTGTGTGTGTGCGTGCACGTGGGAGAGCAGTGGGTGGAGGCATCAAAGCGCACGTCGCTGCGAGTGCTGGGCAGCGTGGGCGAGCCCATCAACCCCTCCGCATGGAAGTGAGTACCCCGCCCTGCTGCCCCTTGCCATGCCATTGCTCACGCTCAGCACTCTCGGAAATGCCATGTGCCATGTGCCATGTGCCATGTGCCATGTGCCATGTGCGTGCAACCCCAGGCTCCAGCCATGCATCCAACACCGCACACCCTGCCACTCTTCTTCTCTCTCCCGCCACTCCCCCTCCTCTCACCCTGCTCGTCTCCCCATCCTCCCCACCCTGCCCCCACCGTGTGTGCAGGTGGTACAGCACAGTGGTGGGAGAGGACCGCTGCCCCATCAGCGACACGTGGTGGCAGACTGAGTCCGGCGGCTTCATGGTGCGTGCCCGTGGCCCTGTCCTAGTCAACACTGATTCTCATGTTTCTCAACACCGATTCTCATGTTTCTCAACACCGATTCTCATGTTTCTCAACACCGATTCTCATGTTTCTCAACACCGATTCTCATGTTTCTCAACACCGATTCTCATGTTTCTCAACACCGATTCTCATGTTTCTCAACACCGATTCTCATGTTTCTCAACACCGATTCTCAAGTTTCTCAACACCGATTCTCATGTTTCTCAACACCGATTCTCATGTTTCTCAACACCGATTCTCATGTTTCTCAACACCGATTCTCATGTTTCTCAACACCGATTCTCATGTTTCTCAACACCGATTCTCATGTTTCTCAACACCGATTCTCATGTTTCTCAACACCGATTCTCATGTTTCTCAACATCGATTCTCATGTTTCTCAACATCGATTCTCATGTTTCTCAACACCGATTCTCATGTTTCTCAACACCGATTCTCATGTTTCTCAACACCGATTCTCATGTTTCTCAACATCGATTCTCATGTTTCTCAACATCGATTCTCATGTTTCTCAACACCGATTCTCATGTTTCTCAACACCGATTCTCATGTTTCTCAACACCGATTCTCATGTTTCTCAACATCGATTCTCATGTTTCTCAACATCGATTCTCATGTTTCTCAACACCGATTCTCTTGTTTCTCAACACCGATTCTCATGTTTCTCAACACCGATTCTCATGTTTCTCAACATCGATTCTCATGTTTCTCAACATCGATTCTCATGTTTCTCAACACCGATTCTCATGTTTCTCAACACCGATTCTCATGTTTCTCAACACCGATTCTCATGTTTCTCAACATCGATTCTCATGTTTCTCAACATCGATTCTCATGTTTCTCAACACCGATTCTCATGTTTCTCAACACCGATTCTCATGTTTCTCAACACCGATTCTCATGTTTCTCAACACCGATTCTCATGTTTCTCAACATCGATTCTCATGTTTCTCAACATCGATTCTCATGTTTCTCAACACCGATTCTCATGTTTCTCAACACCGATTCTCATGTTTCTCAACACCGATTCTCATGTTTCTCAACACCGATTCTCATGTTTCTCAACACCGATTCTCATGTTTCTCAACACCGATTCTCATGTTTCTCAACATCGATTCTCATGTTTCTCAACATCGATTCTCATGTTTCTCAACACCGATTCTCATGTTTCTCAACACCGATTCTCATGTTTCTCAACATCGATTCTCATGTTTCTCAACATCGATTCTCATGTTTCTCAACACCGATTCTCATGTTTCTCAACACCGATTCTCATGTTTCTCAACACCGATTCTCATGTTTCTCAACACCGATTCTCATGTTTCTCAACACCGATTCTCATGTTTCTCAACACCGATTCTCATGTTTCTCAACACCGATTCTCATGTTTCTCAACATCGATTCTCATGTTTCTCAACATCGATTCTCATGTTTCTCAACACCGATTCTCATGTTTCTCAACACCGATTCTCATGTTTCTCAACACCGATTCTCATGTTTCTCAACATCGATTCTCATGTTTCTCAACATCGATTCTCATGTT